TAAATGGGAAAGAAGGAGCTGTCTGCCTCCTCTCCTGAAAGGGTCTCCTCCTTAATACAACCCCTTGCTATATAAGTCAAATCTCTCTAGGAGCAGAGAGCACCTTTGACCTAATTTCACCAAGGTCTGGGGCTCATTGCTCTTTGAAATGCAAACATCTAGGAAGATAGCTACATTAGACTCCCAGACATCCTGGGGCGTAACCTAGAGAGCTATTGTAGAACATTTTGGTCCTCTGGAAAGAGCTAAGGAGAAGTTTTATTATATTTTTGAATCAGAGCAATGAACTAAACAAATTGCTGTAGATCCAATCTCATTAATGCAGACAGTCTCCAGAAGCTGGAGCTTCTTACACAAGCACTGATCCATCTGGGAAAGTTTTATTGCCCCATCTGTGCACCTTATAGAATATTATTCAGCCAATAGAATATTATAGAATAAAATTTTATTCAATCAACAGAATATTATTCCAATAGAATATTATTCAGCTAATTCAAACCTAGTCAAATGAGTTGGAAGGGTTAGGGTTAGAGTGAGGGTTTTAAAAAATTAATGAGTATGAACTATTAGTTAGCTTGGCAGAATTTACACAGAACTAAAATGCAGACTAGTGGATAAAATATGACCGTTATGCAAAATAAACAATAAACATGTACATATACACATTACTCACCTGTCAATCACCTTTGGAAACACCTTCACAGAAGCCTTCAGAAACAATGCTTCACCAGCCATCTAGGCATTCCTCAATCCAGCCAGATTGACACCTAAAACTAACCATCACAATATGTAAATATAAATATTTATGGATATATTTATAAGGATAGATGTAAAATAATTATATTTGATTATATCTATAGATGTGGAGATACACAAGTGAAGGCCACCAACATATTATTGTTGGTTTTCTTTGCATGGTGAGATTTCAAGTGATTTCCACTTCTGCCTTTATATCTTGATATATTCCTAATTTTTGAGACAACCTATAGTAATTACACTATTTACACTAGTAAAAATCTAGCATTTACACTGTTCATAGTGTTTACTTTTATCTTCAAAAAATTCCTTTTCTTTGACTGCTTTGAGGTCGTGTACAGTCTGTGCAGTTTACCAAAGGTCCTACCATGCCTCCTCCCTTTCATAATAATTCTATCAGTTTGTGTTTAAAGTATTTTAGTTTACTCCCTGCCGTATACCCTTGTTTATTTTTAACTATGAGATTTCCCAAATTCAGAGAAATATGTAATAAATTCTACCACGAAACAGAAGATTTGTTAAACTACCAATTTTTACTTTGTATGATTTAATGCAATGCACTTTAGTATGTAAGTGTTCATGTTTGTTACATCTTCTTGTATTAAAACTCTAGACATTAAAAATGATTTAAATAATTTTTAATAATATCATGGATTGGTGTAGAAAATAATATTGAATTTGTCATTCAATTCTCCTTAAATTAACCAAAAGTATAATGCAGTCTCAATTTCACAACTCAAATATGATTATTTCCTTTTTGTTGTTACTTTTCCTTTTCTGTTCTTCTTTTTTCTTTGGAGGAGGATTTCTTTTCTTATTTTTTAGAATATAACAAAGCAATGCTTCATTAATAAACATATGAGAATAGGTGGGTAAGAAAGAAGAGTCCCACTGACTCTTTGTCACACATTGCCTAGGACTGCCTTCTCCAAACTAGTATAAACAACACTGTGGACGTGCAGATAAGCCTGGTCAAAGATCTCAGGAAACTAAGTCTTTACAAAAGAGTCTATTCGGGAAATCAATGGTGGGACAGTACATTTCCTAGGGGTGGGACTCCATCTCTCAGGAAAGTGTACTTTTTTCACCTGGGTTGCTATTTTTAATTTTTTTTGCTGTTTGTTTTTTTCCAAATACAGATTTACCTAACGTTATAGCCCTGTCACATTCTGAGAGGCGAATTTTACTCCACGGCATTTTTCCTCTTCACTCTGTGAGGAAGAAGGAAGTCAGTGGGAGGCCCCGCCAAACCCACCTTCCACAGCCCACACATTTGTTCACAGGCAGCAAACATGCTCTACCTCCTCAGGAGAAGGTAAACAATTCTTTAATCCCTTTGTGGTCGCACACGATTGAACTTATTTCCACTAATGATGAAATCCTGTAAGTCCTCCAGGTAACTGAGCACGGAGAGTCTGGTTTCCCATGAAAATATTTCTATTATGGAGAGTGATAAATGATCCCTGCAGGTGTCCAAGTGGTAAGTCAATACACACCAGCAGGTGTTCCCTCTGTAATTCGGCCAGCAGGTAAGGCAGCTGAGACCCTTAACTAGTTTTTTCTCTGTGGACAACTTGGGTCTATAATATTTCCCAGAGCACATATTGCCATCACCACTACCAAAACATTTAATCCATTACATGTCCAAGGCCAAATAAATGCCAGTGAGCAATTATCTGTCTGCAGAAGAGTCCCTGAGCTGGTCTTATCATTGGAATTCCTGTCCTCTACAAATGATTCTACAACAGCAACCAGTGTATGCTCTGTCCAGTGGAAATCAGAGTCTTGATTTTAAGAAAGAGATCTAAACCCTCCAAAGGACCCCTTTTGAGTTAGAATAAAACCCAAACTCTCGCAGTCCCAAAGACTCTTTTATCTCTACCTACCTTTCTGATCTCACTTGTGCCAGTTGCCCCTGACGACCATACGGGCTCAAGTCTCTTGTTGGCTCCAGGAGCAGGACAAGCCCCAGGTCTTATAACTGGGAATCCCTCTGCCTGGCATTCCCTTGCCAAGGGTCTTCCCTAGCCTGGCTCCTTCAGGTCTAAATTCACCTACCTCAGGTCATGTTCATGACTTCTTGGACATCACCCAATTTCTTTTCATTACTAACTCTCACTTTTATCATAGCACAACATTCTGCTGAAATCTTGTTTATTGTTTTATTATCTGTCTTCTCATACCTGATTGGAAACAACCTCTCCCAACAGTTAAATAATGCCTAGCATGTAGAAGGTGTCAAGTAATTATTTGTTGAACGGATGGGTAGTGGATGGGTGGGTGGGTGGATGGATGGATGGATGCATAGATAGACAAATGAGAACCACCTACCTACCTATAAAGTTCAGACCAAAAGAAGAAACTCTATAGTTATCTTATTTGGAATTATCCAAGTAAATGCCTATAGTCTGTATTTCACTCCACAGTACCCATAGACTCACTTATGATTTTCAGATGTTCCTGTGGTTTTTCTAACAATCAATGGACACAGATTGCCATTCACATCCTTTGGTCATTTCCCCTTTAAGATTCCATCCCTACCATTGGCTTGGTCCAGTTACAGGTACTAAGGCATTTGTACCTGAGCAGCAGAATCAATACGATTTTTTAAACACACATCTTCAGATAATAATCATTGAAGTTCTGAATGTGGGCCTCAAAAATTGATGAATACTCATAGTGACACTGAAAATCTAGAATATAAAATTTCTAGAAGTCACCAAAAAAAGAAAATATACTATTTCTCACACTTCACCATTTTCTCCTAGAACAAATAGAAACTTGGAGCAAATTGATATCAAATGCTTAGCGTTTAAAAATTTAAAGCTTTATAGCTTAGAGCAAACATCTTTAGGAGATACTTGATTTAATGGTATTTTTAAATGTGTTAATATACATATATATGACTTGGTGAGCTTCTAATATTATAGATTAACTTAAAGTTTTGAAGTTCGGTTTATTTCAATAATCATATATTTGTTAATTTAATTTCTTTCAAAGTCATTGCTTAAAAATCTGGAGAGTCCACTATGCCAAATATTCTATATATTTAAAATAAACCACCTGGCATTGAACTGCACTAACTTCCTTTACATTAAGACCTCTCCACCATAGGAAAAACCATGTTGACCTCAACTGCCTGGATTCCAAAATTAGTTGTGTTACTCTGGGTGTGCTACTGAAGCTCTCTAGGCCTTACATTTCTAACCCATAAAATAGAAGCAAAAAAAGTGATATACCTATTTGGCAGAACTGCAGGAAGGATTTTTATATCATAAAAGACAAGCAAAGCACTTAAAACTTGGGCTTAATATATATTAGCCTTTAATGAGGGTTTGCTGTTTATTGTTTGGCTTATTTCACTTGGGGGTCCACAGGTTCTTTGCGTGATAACTACCTACCATAAGTGAATTAAAATTAGTATTAATTATTACCATCAATTAATGCTAAGCCATTAATAAATATTCATGAGGCTTCATATTAAGACTCATCACTATAATAAAATATACTTAAAATATACTTATATGCTGTTTAAAATGCAAGTAAAACAAAAACATACACAAAATAGCATTAGGATAAAAGTAGCTATAACTTTATGGAATAAATAAAAACATAGTAATTTTAGCAAATGTGCAAGATAACCGCGCAGTCAGTGTGTCCACAAGGACTTTTTATAAGAGAATTGTTTGAAGTATCAGGGTAACTAAACCAAACAAGTAAAACCAAATAAAAATGCTTAGTTTTCAATTATTGATAAATGAAAAAATGGAATACTAAACAAACAAACAAAAAGAACTATGACATTTTAAACCTTTGACTTTAATTCCACCAGAACACTATAAACCAGGGATAACTAACAGGTCTTATCTTTTAGCCAATTCTTCTCAATTGAAATGACTCTCTGGAAAACTATGTTAAGGAGAATTCTGAGGACACATATGGTTTCATTGGCAAAGAGTTGCCTGTTCATTTATTGATGTACACTACAGGTACAAGAGGGAATGTGTTGCTGCATATGCCTCCTAATACTGCCCCTTACAATTCCAAACTTGTAATTTCAAAGTGCTTTGTCACTGCCAAGAAATAAATGATCATGGGACAGAACAGTTTGGAAGCAAGGGTCAGGCTATGCTGCTGAGATGATTGGCTGGAGTTCATCACCAGGGCTTTCATTAGTTACTGCCTTGATCTCCTCCTTCAGCTGTTAAGCACTTAGATGCAACTCGATCCCTAATCTGCCTTAAGCAGGTCCTATATCAAGGGAAGGAGGGGGAAGGATTCATGCAAGAACCTCTCCACAGGCCTTCCTCTGTATGTCAGGGCTTCAGAACTCATGAAAAATTCTGGAGGAAGAGACTAAAGGAAGCAAAGACATCAAGAGTCCACAAACAGAAAGTAAAGATCAAGGTCTTGAAAAACCACTTTCTCTTGGAATCTTGTGAGTACTGGCTAAAAATCCTCCCACTGAATTGCCCAGGTTAGATTCCTTCAAGGCGAACAAATAGCAAGGTCAGGGAAGAAAGGGAAAGAATTGGTCACTTTCTCCAGCACAGAAGAGAAAAAAATATATTTTTCAAAGATAGGAAGGAGGAAAAAAATGTATTTGCCTGCCCTTAGTCCCAAATTTCCCAAGGCTTCTGTCCTTTTGTTCTGTGGTGGCCTTATTAGATTACAGCGAAACTTTCCTAAAGAATTAACTTAATTCACCCTGAGAAAGCAACTACCAGGTCCTTCCCCTCCCTGCGGGTGGGAGACACCTTGACCCACCTCCAAGGCATATACTTCCAATTTCAATTTGTCTGTATAAAACAGGGCCAGGATCTTCTCAATGGAGCCCACACAGACTGGGTTCTGTGGCCAAGGGGGTAAACTACAGAGCCACCTTTCACTGTCTGTTCACAGGAAATTAGTCTGAAAAGAATGGAGGAGCAAACTGGCAGCAGATTCAAGGGTCCAAGAAAGCAGGCTACAGCTCCAGGGGAAGAGTGGGGACCAAGGGCTGAGCAGAGGCTTCTGTGCCTTTCCTCTGGCTCCAGAAATAATTTTCTCCTCTTACCATCCTCACAAAAAGCTCAGGGTATACAACTACAGACACTTGGATAACACAGTCTATGTTCACAGACAGGCCTCAAAAAGCCCTATACCCAGACGGCAGGGGGGCAACACACAAGAGGTGGGTTCCAGGTACCGTGGAGCTGCAGCCCAGGTAGTCATGACATTCCAAAGCCACAGGAGAGGCAGAAGGGGGATCTTCAGCAAGTACCTGGACCTCAGATTAACCAGGCCCAGAGGTTCCCTGAGAGCTTTGCCCTTCACCCCAGTAACAGGTGGATGTTATACTGAAGGCTCCCCATGTGCTAGAGGCCCTTAGGCAAGAACTTGAGTGGTGGAGACAGCACCTGTGAGCCTGTTACCAGCAAGATAGTGGACTGTTCTATAACCTCTCTGCACCACCGAGGCTCCACCTGAATAAAAACCTCAGAGCTTAGCCCACTTCTCAGGTGGGCACTGGTAATGAGCATGGAGGGGCCAGGCCCCCACTGACCTCCTTGAGACCACTCTACAAGGGCCTCTGCAGCAGTATTGGCTTCTGAACCATTCACCTTGCCTTGGAGACCAGCAAAAGTGCATGAGGACACAGAAAACGTGTAGCTTGTGATAGAAGATACATCCCTAGCCTGACAGGGTACAATCCCATCCACCAGGGCAGGTGACTGGACTGGCCATCTGCAGGGAACACTCACAGGCTGGTTTTCTGGGCAAGTCCGGTCTCATACTTCTCCCACAGGCTTAGCTGTGTTAAAGGCTGGATGCAGAGGGCCTGGGTCTCCCTTGGGAGCCCAGCATGAAACCCTCTGCTTCCCCAAGCATGGAAGAGCTGGCCATGAGCCAATTCATTTTGCACAGGCTGGGGCTGAGTCTTCAAGTAACAGTAATGAGTGTGGGCAATTGGTTAGCGCTAGGCAGGATGCAAGCTCTAACTAAAGAAGAAAAATATGTCTTCCTATCTCACGGGTGGGTAAGCAAATTCAAAGTCACTCAACAACAACAGAAACACAGCACCCACTCTGTATTGCTTATCACCAGGCATGGAGGCACCAAGGTGACTAGATGTGGTTCCTGCAATCAGAAAGCTGAAACTCATTTATTTATAGATTTCCAGAGAAAAGGCTGCTTAAGTGTCACTGTTTTCCTATGTCACTGAAATTGTTTTCACTAAACTTAATCTGTTTAGCTTAGCTTTTTAATGAAGAAAATATTTGCTTTTTAGGTAAATGTTTTCATTTCCAGTCTAGGTGTAAGAACTTAAAAAAGTTGAAAACAAGTATCCAGAGAGATTCTTTCTGCCAATTTACAGAATAAGTAGCTTTTTTGCTTAAGCCAAAAATAATAGATGAAAAAAACTGCCCGTTCTGTATATACACATATGTTGTGCACACACATAAGCATACTCTATTCCACTGAGCTATTTGAATGTAAGTTAAGGTCACTGTGACACTTCACCACTACATATTTCAGCCACTACCACCTAAGAATGAGGACATCCTCTTGGTATCAGACCAGTTAAACTTTAAACAAAAAAGCAATATTAGAAATAAACATAGCATTTCATAAAAAAAAAAAAAGGAAGTTAATAAATCTGTTTCCCATTGTCAATTGTACATGGGGCTCTCATGGAGATCTGATGACAGGTTGGCTAAACCATAATACATTTAATAAATTATAGGAGGAGTTACAAATATTTATGAAGGTGTATTGGAAAACATGTAGGTAACATATGACTTATGTTTACTTTAGGGTGCAGACTTAATATTTAAATGTGTTATAATTAGGCCATATATGTGAAATGTTTTTTAGGATTCAAAGTCATGCAAATGTGTAATATTTATGAACCAACCAGAACTAGTCTATGGCCAGTGGTCTTTTCGTTAGGAGAAAGTTACTGAAATCAATCTATTGTCTATAATTAAAGCTGCAGTCATGGCTGCTATAACAGGGACTGCATTCGATTAGTCAGTATCTGGTAAAAAGTTAGTTAAATTGCCCGAATAATGTTTATTTTGAGGCCAATGTTTAGCTGGTAGAGAAAAAGGAAAACCTATGGCAGGTAGAACACAGTTTACTTTGCAAGTGTAGGTTGTGTGACTTAACTCTTGCCTGGCGTGGCCTTAGGTCTTGTTTATAATTTGGAATTTTATTGTTACAAAGAGTCGGTTTTGTCAGTCTTATGATTTTTATTTTAATATTAATATTGGTAAGGTGTTGTGTCTAAACCATAAAAGGGAGGGGGCATAGCAAGGTGTGTCTGACTTCCCATCCCATCATGGCTGGCGAACTAGGCTTTTAAGGTTTTTTTCCCCTGGAGTTCTGTTGACCAAAGAGGAGCCTGTCTAGTCTGTGGAGGGCTTAGGATTTTTTTTATTAGTTTTTATTTTCTCTTCTTTTGATCAAGATATACCAGAGGCAATATCTGTGGCCAAATTTTTGTTTTGTCCCATGTTGATGTCAGAGCGGTGTGACATTAATTATGTCTCTCAGTCAAAAAGACTTATAGCCAATTAAGCATTTTAGGCCATTTTAGGAAGTGGAGGTAGGCAGGTAGAATTTTTTTGTTTTTTGGGTTTTTTTTTTTTTTTATTTGGGCTCTGGGGTACATGTGCACAATCTGCATCCTGCAGGATTGTTGCATAGGTACATACATGCCGTAGTTGTTTGCTGTCTCCATCCCCCCTCCGACCCCATTGCCTATGTCAGGCATTTATTTCTCCCAATGTTATCCTTCCCCATCCTCCCCAACCCCGCCCCCCACTGTCCCTCCCCTCCCCTCCACCTCCCAACCTAGCCCTGTGTGTATTGTTCCCTTTCCTGTGCCCAAGTGTTCTCACTGCTCATCACCCACCTATGAGTGAAAACATGCAGTGTTTCGTTTCCTGCTCTTGTGTCAGTTTGCTGAAAATGATGGTTTCTAGGTTCCAAGTCTCTACAAAGGACATGAACTCATCCATTTTTATGGCTGCATAGTATTCCATGGTATATATGTGCCACATTTTTTTTGTCCAGTCTATCATCGACGGGCATTTGGGTTGGTTCCAGGTCTTTGCTATTGTAAACAGCGCCACAAAGAACATACGTATGCATGTGTCTTTATGATAGAACAATTTATAATCCTTTGGGTATATACCCAGTAATGGGATTGCTAGGTCAAATGGAATTTCTATTTCTAGATCCTTGAGGAATTGCCACACTGTCTTCCATAATGGTTGAATTAATTTACACCCCCACCAACAGTGTAAAAGTGTTCCTATTTCTCCACATTCTCTCCAGCATCTGTTGTCTCCAGATTTTTTAATGAACGACATTCTAACTGGCATGAGATGGTATCTCAATGTGGTTTTGATTTGCATTTCTCTAATGACCAGTGATAGTGAGCATTTTTTCATATGTTTGTTGGCCTCATATTTGTCTTCTTTTGAAAAGTGTCTGTTCATATCCTTTGCCCACTTTTGAATGGCTTTGTTTTTTTCTTGTAAACCTGCTTTAGTTCTTTGTAGATTCTGGATATTAGCCCTTTGTAAGATGGGTAGATTGCAAAAACTTTTTCCCATTCTGTTGGTTGCTGGTTTACTGTAATGGTTGTTTCTGTTGCTGTGCCGAAGCTCTTATGTTTAATTTGTCTATTTTGGCTTTTGTTGCCATGGTTTTTGGTGTTTTAGTCATGAAGTCGTTGACTGTGCCTATGTCCTGAATGGTTTTGCCTAGGTTGTCTTCTTGGGTTTTTATGGTGTTAGTTCTTATGTTTAAATCTTTAATCCATCTGGAGTTAATTTTTGTATAAGGTATAAGGAAGGGATCCAATTTCAGCTTCCTGCATATGGCTAGCCAGTTTACCCAACACCATTTATTAAACAGGGAATCCTTTCCTCATTGCTTATTTTTGTCAGGTTTTTCAAAGATCAGATGGTCGTAGATGTGTGGCTTTGTTTCCAAGGCCTCTGTTCTGTTCCATTGGTCTATATCTCTGTTTTGGTACCAGTACCATGCTGTTTTGATTACTGTAGACTTGCAGTATAGTTTAAAGTCAGGTAGCATGTGCCTCCAGCTTTGTTCTTTTTGCTTAGGATTGTATTGGCTGTGTGGGCTCTCTTTTGGTTTCATATGAAGTTTAAAGGGGTTTTTTTCAGTTCTGTGAAGAAGGTCCGTGGTAGCTTGATGGGGATAGCATTGAATCCATAAATTACTTTGGGCAGTATGACCATTTTCACAATATTGATTCTTCCTAACCATGAGCATGGAATGTTTCTCTATCTGTTTGTGTCTTCTCTTATTTTCTTGATCAGTGGTTTGTAGTTCTCCTTGAAGAGATCTTTTACCTCCTTTGTTAGTTGTATTCCTAGGTATTTTATCCTCTTGTAGCAATTGTAAATGGGGGTTCGCTCA